GTTACAGACAGCCGTTAGCTTCCATGTGGGTGCTGGGATTCAAACCCGGGTCTTCTGCAAGAACAACCAGTGTTCTTAACTGCTGAGCCATCTCTCCAGCCCCTGTGTTCCATATTTTTAAGCTTTTCTTGGAAACATTTGATTTAGTAAACAGGAAATTATTTCAGAAAAAAATTTATTGCGTTTTATTTATTTATTGTGTTGTTGGGGGCGCACTTGTCAAGATCAGAGGACAACTTGCAGAAGTAGATATCTCTTTCCCCAGGATTGAACTCAGGTCAGCAAGCTTGGTGGCAAATGTCTTTACCTGCTAAACCATCTCGCCCGCCCTGGTTTTGTCTTTTGGGACAGGGTTTTACTCTGCAGGTCAGACAGATCGCGTGATCGATCCTCCAGCCTCAGTTTCCCATAGTGCTGGGATGACCGGCCTGTGTCACCAAGGCCTGCGAGCCATACTTCATACTCTACGTCTCTCCACCGTCGTGTGCGCTATGCCTGCCTGAGGACCTTAGGCAGAACGAACCAATGGGAGACAGAGAGGCCACATAGGCCAGGGCCAGCCCTTAGGCCCCCTGGAAACCCCAACTGGACCAGAGCTGCGGGGCCGCACAGGATAAACGTGCCCGAGGCGACCGGGCACCGCCCGCCTCCACCCCGCCCCGCGTCCTGAGAGGGTCCAATCCCACACTGTTCATGCAAATGAAGCTCTTAGAGCCAGCCTATTCCAGAGCGGCTGGGGCGTGGTCTTCCCTCCTCCCGGACCGCGTTTTGATTCATTGTTAAAATAGAGGCGGTAACCCTAGCGCTCCCACCTCAGCTGCCGGGTGAGTGGAAACCGGAGCCCAGGTGGGAGCCGAATGGGACGGGAGGGAGGCTTGGGGAGGGAGGCTGGAGGGATCCGGAGGAGCTTGCCCATTGGCTGCAGGAAGAGGGGTCCAGAGGGCCGTTCTGCGGGTGGGGCGTCAGATCCGTGAAGGTTTTTCATTATTGTACCCCCGTGTAAGGTACCTTTTAGGGAAGGTTTTACTGCTGATTGGTTGGGTTTGGGGGAGGAAATGCGAGTCGCAAGGGGTACGTGGAGTAAGAGCCCCCCGACTCCTCTCAGGAAAAGGAGCGACAATCTCCATCCTAGGCGATACTCCTTTCTGTGGCTGGACCAGAAAAGAGCCGCCCAGGTTGGAGGGGCGCATCCATCCATCCATCACTAAGAACAGGGACCAAGCTGGGGAGATAAATGGTCATTCAGGGAGGATCCCAAGTCCCCTGTACCCTCCTCTCGGAGTTCCCCTGTCCAAGGGGGAAGAACTACAGCCTACAGGGAGGACCTGGAATTCCTCAGCTCTCAGCCAAGATTGGCAGCAAGGGTCTGAGCCCCTGGGAGCTCCAGAGGGGACACAGGTAGATCAGGTATGAGGTGACCCCGGGAGTGCCATGCGTTTGGGGATGCTGGCTACTCTCCTCCCTTCACCCTCCTCCTGGGGTCTTAATAGGCAAGGCGGGCTCTGTATGTGTGTGTGTGTGTGTGTGTGTGTGTGTGTGTGTGTACTATTTGTGCCTGTATGCCCAAAGAGGGCAGATCCCCTTGAGCTGGAGTTACAGGCAATTGGGTGCCACGGAACCAAATTCAGGTCCTGCCAAAGAGCAGGAAGCCCCAGGGAGGGCATCTTGAAATCATTCTGACCCAGCTTTCCTTCCAGGAGGTGGACATTGGAGCCTGCAGAAGAGAGAGCACTGGGTTCAGGTCAAGACTCCAAGCTGGGCTGGGTGGGTGGCTCAGTGGTAGAGAACTTGTCTAACGTGTGTGAGGCCCTTGATTTGATCCTTAGCATTGAAAAGACACCAGTAGTTCCTTTTTTGACTAAACTCTGTCACAAATGTGCTGTGTGAACTTGTGTTGTTGTTCATTTTCATCTAAGATTTTGTTCACAAGTCTGAAAATACCTGGTTAGCCCTTGGGCTCACTCTGTTTGCCAAGGGACTTGGGTGAATTTCCTGGATGATCCAGGGCCCTGCATGTTCACCTCTGAGCTGGAGGAGACACACAGACCAGATGTGTCTCCAGCTGAGCCAGTTCCCCCTTGAGTGTTGGGGAACAACTCTGAGCCTTGATTGCCTCTTCTGAAACTGGCGTTAATCTGGGATGAATAAGGGAGGCTGGAGAGATGGCTTAGTGGTTAAGAGCACTGGCTGCTCTTGCAGAAGACCTAGATTCATATCCCAGCACCCATGTGGACATTGCAAGACACAGGTGCACTCTGTGAAGCCCTAGCTGGTCCAAAACTCACTATGTAGACCAGGCTGGCTTTGAACTCAGAGTGGTATGCCTGCCTCTGCCTCCTGAGTGGTAGAATAATTTTTTAATATTTTATTTATTCATCTATTTTTTGTCTTTTTGAGACAGAGTCTCCCTGTAGCCCCAGCTGTCCTGGAACGCATTTACATAGACCAGGCTGGCCTTGAACTCACAGAGATCCGCCTGCCTCTACCTCCCAAGTGCTGGGATTAAAGGAGTGCGCCACCACACCCGGCTTTATTTATTATTTTTATTTTATGAGTGTATTGCCTGCATGTATGTGAATGCACCGTGCCGTGGAGGTCAGAAGAGGGCTTTGGATTCCCCTGGAACTGGAGTTAAGGATGGTTTGTAGCCGCCATGTGGGTGCTGGGAATTGAACCTGGGTCCTCTGCAAGAACAGTCAGTGCTCGTAACACTGAGCATCTCTCCAGCCCCGTGAGTGGTAGAATTAAAGGCTTGCATCACCACACCTGGTTCGTTTTGTTTTTAAAGAGATGGAGACTGGATATGTTGCCCAGGCTGATCCAAACTTCTACACTCACAAGTACTTCATGACTGTCTTCTGAGTAGCTGGGACTATGGGTATATATATCATTGCCTGGAAACCTGCATTTTTATGAGCAGCCCAAGGAGAGTGTAATTCAGGGTCCTTGAAACACTGAACAACACTGCAATAAGGATTATAAATCTCGTGTAAATGGTTGGTAGTGTTCCTGAGCACTTAGTGTTTGTTGAGTGAATACATGAATAGATGAGTGGGTGGATAGCCTTGCCTGTTTTGGGTAAACTGGGCTGGGATCTACACCTCCCTTTTGGAGATGCCCCCCCCCCCCCCCCCCCCCCCGCCGCCCCAAATCCTTCCCGGGCCCTACTCAGAGAGCCAGCTACTGGATCACAGGAGCTGCCTGGCCTGGCTCATCCCCTTTGGAGGAAGTGGCTATGGATGTCCTAGGTGAACATTTTGAGGCCAGCCCATCTGCCAACAGCCACTGTCTGAATTGCTTTCACCCTGAGGAAGGCCATGGAGAGAGGCACCAGGTAGGCTGGCTTTCCCTCCTGGTGGGTGGTTTGGAATAGGGAATCAGTGATGGGCTGGGCCTGGCTGGGCCATGAACCTGCACGTGAAGCCAGATGCTACTTCCTGAGCTGTGCTGTAGTTTTTCTCCACACAGTGAGATGGTTGGACTGTGTTAATATTCTTTATTCATTGGCCACTTTCACCTGCTTTTGTGATTAATTTTTTTCTTTATTACATTTAGAGAGAGAGAGGAGAGAGAGAGAGAGAGAGAGAGAGAGAGAGAGTGAGAGAGAGGAGAGAGGAGAGATAGGAAGACAACTTTTGGGAGTTGGTTCTCTCCTTCCACCATGTGGGTCCTGGGGATCCAATGCAGGTCATCAGGCTTGGCAGTGACCGCCTTTACCCACTGAGCCATCATGCCAGCCCCTTGCTCTTAATGATTTTTTATAACATAACCTCATCTAATCTATTCCTTACATTATATACAGTTCTTGACATCCTCTTTTGGGGGGCCCTGTGCATGCTAAGTGCTGAACAGCTGAACTACCTTCCAATCCCCAAATCTTTAACCTTTGCTCACTTCTGCTGAGACACAACCTTACCTCATACCACAAACAGAAAATTACCAGTGTGTCCTAGATGTAACCCAGCATGTTATCTGTGATGCTATTTTCACAATGCATCCACTCCTTAAATATAAATCAAATTATGATTTACCAAGTATAATGCAATAAAACTTAGGGGAAAAGGGAACAAGATTAGAAACTAAAAGAAGGGCTGGAGAGATGGCTCAGTGCTCCTGCAGAAGACCTAGGTTCAGTTCCTACCACTTACATGGTTGCTAACAACCATCCATAACTCCAGTTCCAAGGGATCTAACACCCTCTTCTGACCTCTGTGGGCATTGCACAACACACACGTGCACTTACCTACGTGCAGGCAATATGCTCATACACATAAAATAAAATAAAAATAAAAATAAATTTAAAAAACTAAAAGAAAAGGTCAGGCTTTAATCCCAGCACTCAGGAGGCAGAGGCAGGCGGATCTCTGTGAGTTCCAGGCCAGCCTGGTCTACATAGTAAGTTTCAGGACAGCTGGGGCTACAGGGAGACCCTGCCTCAAAAAGACAAAAAAAGGGGCTGGAGAGATGGCCCAGCAGTTAAGAACACTGGCTGTTCTTGCAAAAGACCCGGGTTCGAATCCCAAAACCCACATGGCAGCTAACAATTGTCCATAACTCCAGTTCCAGGGGATCCAATAGCCTCTTCTGTCCTCCTCGGGCATTGTACAACACAGGTGCACTTACCTACATGCAGGCAATACACGCATACACATAAAATAAAAATAAAATATTTTTTAAAACGTAAAAAGGTCAGGTGTGAGGGTGCAGACCTGTAGTCATGGCAATTGGAGAGTGAGGCAGGGAACTGCCATCAGTTCCAGGAAAGCCTGGGCTACAAAATGAGATTTTTGTCTCAAAACAAACAAGAAAAAGCTAAAAAAAGAGAAAGACCTGTTACCTGTGGGAGGGCTGCTCCATGGAGTTCTGCTGTGTTTTGTGGAAGAGGTTACTTAATGGGAATGAGAGGCCTTAATGATGCACAGCACCCCCATAGTCATTCAAGTTGTCAGATGAGTGAAAGAAGAGTCATTTTCTCACTCCATGATTAATGTGGGCAGGTGCCAAGTCCCGGTTACATAGAAGCCCAGAGCACTGACCACACACCTTGAGAAGCATGGGACCTGTGGCTCTCCAAGGCCCCTTGACCTCCTGTGTCCCTGTCATTTCTGAGGTTCCTTTTAGCCTAGCAGTCAGCTTCCTGCAGGAGGTAAGGCCCCAAAGTGCTTATTATAAGGGTGTGTGGGGAGGTCTCTGTTCAGCCTTACAGCAAGCAGGCCTGTACCACAGCCTCTGCTGGCCACTTCCCCACAGTGTGGCCATCTTGGTACTCCTTGCTGGTAGAGGGGCAGCAGGCCCCTCACTCTGGGCATGTGGCCGATGCTTAGCCCAAGCTGCACAGGCTCATTCAGTCCATGTTTACTTCCTCTCCTCACCTCCTGACCAGCTCCTTCACCCTTACCCCCATTCAGGAGCAGAGGCCTGAAAGACCTGGCGTCTATCTTCTACACAAATGGCCTCCCAGCAGATGGGAGATGGCACTCGTGGACCAGAGGATCCTAGATTCAATCAGATCTGAAGTCCAGCCTTAGTTCCTCTGTTTCCCAACTAAGACCTTAGACCGGCTCTACACACTCATACAGACTGAACGGTTGCTTATTAGACTCAGTCAGCATTTCGATGGATGCCAGGGCAGTACTAATTATTGAAGCAGGTGCATCCCTGGCTACGCCGGTTTGGTGGTTTAGTCAAAGAAATGGAAAAGAAGAAAGGAACCATAGAAATAGCTATTTAATCATGGTTGTGACCAAAGCTGTAGCAGCAAGTGTCAGGCCACAGGCAAAGTTTCTCCAAGGACCTTTAGTGGCTTGGTGAGGGTTTTGGGGGATTAGCCAGTGAAGAAGAGGATGGAGAGGGAATGGTACTCTGTGTGAAAAGACCAGAGGCAGAAAGGATGAGGTTCAGAGGGGGGCTGAGGATGGGTCATGGAGAGGGAGGGACAGAGGAGCCACAGGATGAAAGATGGAGAACAGGTAGGGCCTGGGCCTCATCTGAACTTGTGTGACTTTGTGGACATGCTGAGGACTTTAGAGTCCATCTTGAGTATCTCAAGGAGACACTAGGGATTTTAAACAAGAGAGTGACTAAGGTGATCCCACCTTCATTTTTCAGTGTCGCTGTGATTGCTAGGAAAAGTGAGGAGTGCAAGGAGAGAGGGAAGCAAGGAGGCCAGGGTGGGAAAGCTGCAAGTTTCTGTTTGATCCAGAAAGGACAGAGGCCTTGACGTGGGGCTGAAGGACACATCCGAGAGCAAGAGGACTAGGAGTCTATAGTATTAGGGGTGGGGAGGGAGAAGCCCATAGCTGGCTCCTAAATTATTTGGGGGATGGGAAGTAGGTATGCTGTTGCTCAGGGCATGTGGTGAGTGGACACTGCAGTTTAGTGGCTGGACCACACCGGAGAGGCATGAGGATCTGGCATCCATGGAGCATGGATAGAATCAGAGGTTGGCTGGGCTGGAGACATGACTCGGTGGTTAAGAGCACTGGCTGCTCTTGCAGAGGACCCAGGTCCTCTGCAAGAACAGCCAGTGCTCTTAACCACTGAGACATCTCTCCAGTTCCTAAAATTAAAAAAAAAAAAAGTTTAATTATATGTATATCTGTGGGTTTGAGAATCTGAGTGCAATACCCATGGAGGTCAGGTCAGAAGAGTGTATCAGATGCCCTGGAGCTGGAGTTACAGGCGGTTCTGAGCCACACTATGAGGGTGCTGGGAACTGAACTTGGGCCCTTTGTAAGAACAGCCTGCACTCAAGGCTGAGCCATCTCTCCAGGAACCACCACCACCACCCCAGCCTCAGCCAACTTTTAACTTCAGGTTAAACCTTAGGCAGAAGTGACCCAGAAGATAAAGATGAATAGCCAGAGGGTTGAGGGGCACAGATCAGCCTGTGGCCCTACTGGGCTCTGAGAACATGACTTCACTGTCACAGAAGGACCCTGGGATCAAATCCTTATGCTTCCTTTTGTTCCACTGAACTCTGTAAGCACAAGAGAGTTAGTGAGGCAGCCAACTCTGAGAGGAACACCCGTTCTGTATCATATACATTATACATAGAACTTGCGACTCTGGGGCTGCAGAGATGGCTCAGCATATCTAACAACCTCATCTGGCTTCCACAGACACCTCCATTGTGCACACCCCACCCCCAGACATACACACATACCCATAATCATAAATAAATAAATTTTGGGGGCTGGAGAGATGGCTTAGTGGGTAAGAGCACTGGTTGCTCTTGCAGAGGACCTGGGTTCGGTTCCCAGCACCCACATGGTGGTTAACAACCATCCATAACTCTAGTTCCAGGGGATCCAACACCCTCTTCTCGCTACAGGTCCCCACATACATGCAGGCAAAACACTTATATATACAAAATAAAAATAAATAAAATATTTTTAAAAAAACAAACCCAAACAACAACAAAAAAGCTGGAGCTGGGCATGATGGCAGAGGCAGGTAGAGCTCTGTACAGCTCAACCTGATCTACATCTACAGACACCCGAGTCCTCCCAGGCTAGGAGGTGGAGAAAGGGCAAGTTCTAGAAATCACAGCTGTGGCCATGTCATGGCCAGGTTCAGAGGGAGAGAGGATAGTTATGTGGGAGGGCACTGCCCTATGCTAGGTCCATACAGCCTTTCTCTACTCTCCTTCCCCTCTCTCTCCCTCCCTCCCTACTCCCTTTTCCTTCTCAGACAGGATCTCTTTATGCAGCTCAGGCTGGCCTTGAACTCATAATCCTCCTTTTGTGGTATTGCAGGTATGCACCACCATGTCTGGCTAATTTATTTATTCTTATTGTATTTAACATTACTCTGCCAGTTTGAGGTTTACAAAATAATGCTCTTTTATTACACTTAAGGTGAATAGACAGACACTGCTTTGAGCCTTTTACAAATGCTCCCTCATTTTATTCCCCTCACATCCCCTAGTGGCTCTGGTTATCAGGCCAGTTTATAGATGATGTAACCCAGGCACAGAAAGGACAGTCACCTGGCCCAAGTCTTGTTGGTCACACCTATGCCTCCCATTCAGAGACAGCAAGGCCCAGAGAGAGGGAGTTACTGATGAGGTCACCCAGCCAGGATGGGACCCAGGTCTGTCTGCAGCCAGAACCTGTGTCAACTTACCAGACAGGAAATCAGAGCTGGGGACTGACCCCTGGGCATGTTTATGTACAGGGCAGGAGGTAGAGATGGGGCTACAGGCCCAAGCAGGAAGGAGGTGCCATATCAGGTCAGGGGTCCTGCTGGGTGGCCCCTTGGCAATGCTGGGGTTGAGGTGGGAAGCTGTTCCTTATTTTATGCTGGTGCTGTCCCCTGGGTGGCCAAGGCGCCAGGCTGGGCTGTGGATCTGACACCTGCTGCCGGGCTCCGATCAGAATCTGGCTGTGGGACAGGGGTGAAACTGAATCCCGTTTGGCCTATTCTGGCCTGGAAGTGGCCACAGACCCCGTACGGGTCCTTCCCTGGTACAGTCTGGTCTTGCCCACGGTAGCCTCCTCTGAGCCTAGAGAGCTTCTGCCCCCCATTGGCATTGCCCAGGCTGCAGCCTCGGCCCTGGTCGCCAGGCTCCAGGGTCCCCAGGGAGACTCCCACCGGGCCGCTCTCAGGTGAGCCGCCAGGATCGGGTTCCCGGCGGTTTCATGTCCTGCATTGTTCTTGGCTGAGCCCGGGCTTATGAAACAGTAATGAGGGGCCCCGCTCCCGAGGCCGGCCCTTCTAAGGTTTCCGCTGCCTGGGCCATCTCAGCACCAGGGCCGGGAGTCCGGGCCTGGGAGGGCGGCAGCGTGGGGGCCTGAGCCAGAGCCCCCCGGGAACGAGGGTGCTGACAGCCACCAGCTGCCACCGCTGGAGCCCGCTGCCCAGGTAACCCGAGAGGAGGCGGGGAGGGCCTTGCCATTCTGGGAGGTGGGGAGAGTGGGGGGCCTTCTTGGAGGGGAGCAGCCATTCCCCGGGGCTGAGCCCAGCACCAACATTTTCAGGTGTAGCCCTGCTGTGGGCAGTGCCAAGGGCCCTTCCACAGCCTGGGTCCTCCACTCTAGGGCTCCTGCCTCTCCCATAGCCCCCAGCCCTTCATTCCTTTTAGATCTTGCCCTTTCCTCCTCCCTCAGACTGGCTCTTTCTCCCTCAGAGCAACTCTTCCTCTCCAGGCCAAGCAAATCCACCCCTTTATCCTTGTCTTCTGGCTGCCAGGGTACTCTGGGGCCTTCGAGAAATTCCCATTCTCAAGTATGCACACATACATACGCATTTACATGATCTTGCTCATGTACAGGAAACATATGCATTGGTGTAGCGGATCAGCTGGCACACATGCAAGTGTGCACATGGGTGCCCCAAACCACAGGTAACATGTACCTGTCCCTAGATCCATGTGTGTGCACATGTGTGCATATATGTTCCAGGTACCACTACCAGCCCTGGCTTGGGTCCCCAGAGTGCCCCCAGCCAAGGGAATGGGAAGTCTCTGAGCAGGGAGATGCTAGGAGATGTCTAGAGATACCTACCCATCCCAGCTGGGAGGGGCTGGGAGGGGGAGGGGATCTCCACATGGCCCTGAGCTGTATCTCCTCTCTCTAATGCTGGATCAGGAGCCTCAGAGCCCTTCTAGTGCTGAGGCACCCTACTGCAACCCGCCCCACTGCCCACCAGTTTCTCAGGACCCACTTGGTGCTGCCACCTCTGCTGGCCAGTCTGTGGAGGGCCCAGGCGTCAGGCAGGGGCCTGAGAGGTGGGTAAAGCCCCAGGTCCCAGGGAAGGGCTCCCTGGGAAGAGAATGCCCTTGCCTTCACTATGCATACCCCTTTGTGACGGCAGTATCCTTCTGATGGCAACTGGTGTGGGTCACATGGTCTATCCATACAGTCTGGATAGAGGTAGGCTGTGGGCATTGGGGTCCTTGGGGCCGTTAGAGAGCTCACATCAGTCTGTCCCTGTTTGTACCTGGGTCTCTGAGTCTAGGTCTGAACCCAGCTATCTTTCCTGGTGGCCCTGCCCACACTATAATTCCATGGGGTGGAGGATGGCTGTGCACATCTCCTGGTCCTTGCGCGTAATTTTAAAAGATTGAAAGAACTGAGACTGGTGATGGATGCTTGTGATTCCAACATTCAGGAAATGGAGGCCGGAGGATAGGAAGTTCAGGGCTAGCTTGGGCTACACAAGCAGACTCTGTTCTATCTCCTACCCCTCCAAAAAAAGTTTGAACAGTTCCCTCAGTCAGGGCACCTCCTGTTACCCCTGCCTGGCTGGGTCTTGTTCCAGCTTTCAGGATTCTGTCCAGCCCAGGCCTGAAACCAAGATCCCCCACTGAGGTCATGAGACCTTTCGGGAGACCATGGCCTGAGGGTCCAGAAAGCTGGACCCCAGTTTCACATCTGACCCAGATGGGCTATGGAACCTTGGACAAGTTATTCCATCTTTATGGGTTTTTTTTTGTTTTTTTTTGTTTTTGTTATTTTTGAGACTGTCTCACTGTAGCCCCAGCTGGTCTGGAACTCACTATGCAGACCAGGCTAGCCTTGAACTCAAAGAGATTCACCTGCCTCTGCCTCCTGAGTGCTAGGATTTAAGGCATGTGCCACCACGCCTGACTACCCCATCTTTTTATGCCTCACTTTTCCTGTTTCTAAAGTAAGGGACTGAGTCAGGCTGAGGATGTAGTTCAATAACAGAGGGTGTGCCTAATAGCCCTGAGTTTGAGTCCCAGTATTGTAAAAATAGATAATTTGGGGGATTTATTTTTATTTTATGTATGTGGTTTTGCCTGCATGTATGTTAGTGCACCTGTATATGCAGTGCCCATGGAGGCCAGAAGAGGACCCTGGAACTGGAGGTTGTAAACTGCCTTGTGGGTGCTGGGAACCAAACCTGGGTCCTCTCCAAGAGCAGCCAGTGCTCTTAACCACTGAGACATTTCCCCAGCCCCAAAATAAATAATTTCATTTTTGCTTTTTTAGACAGGGTCTCCCTGTAACCCCAGATGGCCTGGAACTTGCTATGCAGACCAGGCTGGCCTTGAACTCACAGAGATCTGGTTGGCCTTGAACTCACAGAGATCTGCTTACCTCTATCTCCCCAGTGCTGGGATTAAAAGTATCTGCCACCACACATACCTATAAATTTTAAAAAGGTAGATTGGATCAAATTCTCATTGTTTGAAAGCAAGATTCACCACAGGTCGCATTATGTTAAGTGAAAAAGAAAGTTTTGATATCAATTATATTTCAGAAAGTCTAGGACAAATTAAGTGGAATTTTTCTTGTAGGACTTGTCAGAGCATTTACTTTGGAGGCCTGCATTGTGATGATTAGGTGGGAAGGTAGAGAGAGGCATGTATAGAATGTCCCATTTTTATTTAACTGTGGATCTCTTTTTTTAGAATCATCACTCATTATTACTATTTTATAGGCCATTCTGTGGGTCACTTTGGGAATACTGTGAGCTATAAGCAACTTGTACCGGGGCCACCAGGAATAGTTTCTGTTAAAGCTCACCTATTTCCATAGCTCTTGCCCTCAGAACTTGCTGCCCCCACACCCCTGTTATCCCAGCGTGTGTCTGTCACTGAGCTGAGTGTCCCCACACATGATCCACTCACAGGGGACTGGGGCTGGAGCAGTAGTCCAGCCATTGCCCAGTTCTGTCCTTTCCTAGCTTTGTAACCAGGCTCTTGACTCCTCTGAGCCATAGTTTCTTCATCTGTACAATGGGACTCTAGACGTGATTATAAGGGAGAGGGTGTTTGTGTGCCAGGAGTGGTCCATATAGAGCCTAGCTGGCCCTCAGCACTGGCTTCTGGTTCTGAAGTAGCTGCAGATACCTGGGTCCTGTGGCATAGGTGCTCAAATACCCGTGTCCGTGCACACACGCACGTGTGTGTGTGTGTGTGTGTGTGTGTGTGTGTGTGTGTGTGCGTGTGATTCCCTGACTCCCTGTTTACCTTTTGAGGAAAGTCATGGGTCTCTCTCCTCTCCCAGGGGCCTGTCCCCAACAGTAGCTCTCCTTGCAGAGGGCCCCACAGCCACTCCCAAGAGCAGCCTCCCTGAGGCAGTGCCCTATCTGGAGTGCCTGGCCTCTGGCAGCTGCAAGGAAGAGGACCCTGTCTCTGCCACCAGATCCAGCCAAGACAACAATACCCCTGATGATACCAGCCATTCATCCTCTGTGGTAAGCTTGAGGCCAGGGACTGGGGACAACAGCAGGCTGCTCAGTGTCCCCAGCTCTGGGGGTCCCTAAACCTCCAGAGGTGAGCTGAGCCTCTCTCTGCAGAACATACTAGGCCAAGTGTGGCCACCAGCTGCCCTGCTGCTGAGGTGGGGCTGCTGCCTGCTGGCCCAGGGAGAGTGGTAGTGAAGGCAGGTGTAGGGAGGAGTTTGGGGACCTTGGGTGAGTCACCAGCTGGATCAGGTCACAGGACTGAGAGGTGGGTGTGGCATCCAGAGCAAGTAAGAGGTTGGCCCCAGCCCTGTCTTGGCCACAGGCTACTGAGTCCATGACCAGTCCTGGGGTTGATCTCCAAAGTAGAGGGAAGGAAACAGGCTTGGGCACTGGCAGAAGCTGGTGAAAGAGAGGAACCAGGAGGCTCTCCCCACGAATTTACACTTGAAGGGACTGTCCCCCTGAGACCTCCCTCTAAAGGAAAGTGACAGGAAGGGATGAGCTCGGCACTGTGTACTAAGGGCTCAGTGGAGTTCAAGGCTCCTCAGCATCCTCTGAGCTAGAGACTGTTAAGGCCTTGCCAGAGCCTGAGGCTCAGAGAGGGAAAGCAACTTACTTGAGGCTATATAGCTGGGAAGAGGTAGGGCTAGGATTTGAACCTGTACCTCTCAGCTGTGACTTTGGCCCAGTTTTTGGCTTCAATGACTGCACCTCCTGCTCAAGGTTGACCAAAGATTTGCTGAGTCACCTTCTACCAAGAGTCAATCATGGTGCCGGGCACATAGCAGATGCCCCTAAAGCCAGTTTCTTCCCCTCTTTTCTACCCCTTATCCTGGAAGCACGGGCCCTGGGCTCCCTCTTCTCCTCCGTAACAGGCCTTTTCCTCCCCTGGCAGGACTGGGAAACTGTGGAGAGGCCAGGGGCCATCACCAACTGGGACAGACTCACTGTGATGATCCCCAGGAGGCCCCAGGAGGGGCCGAGAGCTGACAGTACTCAAAGAGTCACCAGGTCCCCTGCCAGAGGAGACACAACAGGCCAGAGAAAGGAAGGTAGGTTCTCAGATGGTCTTGTGACCACAAGGATAGTGATGGCCTACGGACCCCCTCAACAGCCATCTCACTAGCTAATAATAGTAGCAGCTCGCTGGGTGTGGTGGTACACACCTTTAATCCCAGCGCTCAGGAGACAGAGGCAAGCAGATCTCTGTGAGTTCAAGGCCAGCCTGGTTTAGGTAGTGAGTTCCAGGTCAGCTGGTGCTATAGGGAGACATAAATAAATAAATAAATAAATAAATAAATAAATAGAACTAATGGTAGCAGTTCTCACATCACTGTGGAAGGATGATATGGGTCATGCTACCTGCTTTAATGAAGCCATCTCTCAGGTGGCAGGTTGGGGGTCCTAAGTTATAAGGAACAGAAACAAGCTGAACACAGAATGTCCCCCATAAACAGAAGGCTAAGGGAGTGGTACTTCAGGCGTGGCTAGATCCAGGTGTTCAGACAGCACCCAAAATCTCTTCTCTACTTTGCTTTTTTCTGAGGTGGCTCCATTCTTAGTCAAACCCTTCCCTGATAGTGGCATGATGAACTCCAGCAGGGCCAGCTCTGTGCCACCTGCTCCTTGGCTCCCATAGAAGAGCACAGAGCCGAGCATGGTGGTGCACGCCTTTAATCCCAGCACTTGGGAGGGGTGGAGGCAGGCAGATCTCTGAGTTCCAGGCCAGCTGGGGCTACAGGGAGACCCTCTCTCAAAAAAGACCAAAAGAAGAAGTAGGAGGAGGAAGAGGAGGAAGAGGAGGAGGAGGAGAAGGGGGGCACAGTCTCCAGTCAGCACAGTTAAAGTCTCAGGAAGGGTTCTCACAGGGACCACTGTGGGTCCTCCCATGTTCATGGTTGGCCTCTTGTGCAAACTTCGAGGCCTTGGCTAGGAGGAGGGGAGAGTTCCCAAAGAAAATCAGGTGCTGTTCCCAGCGCGGGGGCAGAGGGGCACGTGAGTGGAAGGGCTGATATTAGGCCAAGTCCATAAGCTTGTCATAACCATAGAGGCAGGTGAGGCTGATTAACATCTCACTGGGATGTGAACTTAGCATGCTGGTCCTCAAATTCTGGCCCTGGTGTCTCTTTTCAATGTGGACAAGATTTGGGGCTGGGGAGTCAGGACACCCATCTCCTTTCCTGATGGCAGTCCTGATTGCGTGTGGCCCCTGATGGAGTCTCATCAACATGGGTGTGTGGAGATGGTAGCCTGGGGTCCCTGGAGGAGTTAGCATGGGCTCTTCCCCTAGAAAACTCACCACCTAGCAAAGCAGACAGAAGCTGGCCCTAGTGGCCCAGAAGAGAGGAAGAACAGACACAGGAGTGAGGGAAGAGATGAATGCAGGACTGGCACAGGAGAAGACTGTCTGGGTGAAGGAGAGCAGGACCGGGAAGAACATCTATGGAGCCTATTGACATCTGAAGTTCAAATGTGGTACAGCATTGGGGTAGACTGTGCTGGGCCTCCACAGCATGGCTAAGGATTTTGGATTCTCTTTCCTAACTAGGGAACCATGTGAGGTATGGGGTGTGGGGAGCAATGTCATTGAACTGGTGCTTTGGGATGGTCCTAGGTGTGAGGTCAGGATGCATTGGAGCAGGATGAGGCAAGGGAATGAGAAACCAGGTGAGCTCATAGCAGTCACCTAGTGACACCTGGTTCAGGCTGGAATTGCTGGCAGATGCTGAGTCCCATGGTGAAAGGTTGCCTGGCAACAGCATATTCAGGGCACTCAGTATCTGCTCAGACTATGCTTGACCACAGAGGGAAAAGGCACCTAAGGCTGGGGAGCTCTGTCAGATGCTGCAGCAGTCCAGAGGCCCACTCGGTTTTCCAGGAGCTGCCTGCCAATGGATGTGATGCCTGGAGACAGGGCAGCAAGCAGCATCCCTTCCCTTCCAAATCTTTCCACTAAAATGCATCTGCTGGGTATGGTGACGCTTGCCTGTAATCCCAACACAGACTGGCTTTGAACTCTATGTAGCCAAAGCCAGTCTCAAATTCCCGATCCTCCCGTCTCCACCTCCTGAGTGCTGGTATTACAGAAGGTTCCACACCCGGCTCTGCTTTCTTGCTTCTGAACTCCTTAGGCTGTGGCTGGGATCTTCTCCATGACCTACTTTCAGTCAGAAGCTGTTGCCACTGTCCACCTGGTGGCTGCTTGCTACATTGCAGTCAGGGACCAAGACTCTGAAGGCATTAGCCAACTGTGCTGGGGCTCCCAGATGCATTCCTATTTGGAGGGGTAGGATCCTGGGTGCCCAAGCACAACTGCATACCTGCCCTGCATGGAGGGATGTCCTGGGATGGCCAGGCTCCAAGGATATCTTGATGGGGTGAGGGAGGGATGAGAAGGATCCAGATTCTGGGTGGGGTGGCAGGAGCCAGCTCAGCCTGCGCGTAGTTCAAAGGGTGGGGACACTGCAGGCAGGGCAGAAACAGAACCAGAGGTTATGGCACTATGTGTACTATGCACCTACTATGTGCCAAGCACTTCTGCAAGCTGCAGAGACACCGTGGGAGTGCAAGGCCCTACCCACACAGAGCTGCCAGGGAGAACGTGGGTAACCAAGGTGTCAGGAAGGACATGGAGGGCTGCTCCTTATGGGATGGCCAGAGATCCTAAGTATAAGAATGAACCAGCTGGGCAAAAACAGGCAGCAGCAAGAGCCAAGGCCCGGGGGGTTGGAGGCTTTTGTGGGGTGGGAGGCTCTTGTGGCATGTTTGAGGAACTGAAAGGGTGGATGTTGGATCCCGGTAAGTGCGGGGCAAGATGGAGGAAGGGAATGATCCTTGCAGAGTCTTTCAATCTTGAGAGATCCTGGATCTCATTCTAAATACAGTGGGCAGCCCTGGAGGTGCTCTTTTTTGTTTTCATTTGGAAATAATTTCATATATGTAGAAGCATGGCAGAGATTGTACCTAGAGTGGCTACTGTACTCTTTGCCCAGGTTTCCTTGATACTAATGTGGAGGTGATTCAACTGTAGTTCTATGGTTGTAGTTAAGCAATTAACATTGGTAGGGCCGGGGTGTGTGGCTCAGTAGTATAACTAACCTGCCTAGCATGTGTGAGGCCCTTGATTCCATTCCCATCCCCAGAAAAAAGGTTAGTACACTATTAAACTAAAAGACTATTCAGATCCACGAGTTTGTTTCTTTCTTTTTTGGTTTGTTTTATTTGTTTTATATAAGATCTTACTATGTATCCCTGGCTGGCCTGGAGCTCCTTCTGTAGCCCTGGTTGCTGGCCTTCCCTGGAACCTGTAGCAATCCCCCTGTCTCTACCTCTCAAGAGCTAAGATTACAGGAACCTCCAACCCAATATCACCTTTCTATTCTAGGACCCAGCCCAGGATCCCACCCTGCATTTAGATGCCTGGTCTCCTCTGGTCCTTCCATATGTGGCAGCTTTATGGCCTTTCCTTACCTGCCCTTCAAGGACTGTAAGCAGGGACAGACCTGGTCACCTCACTCTGCTGAGGGAACGGTGATATTGGACCCACAGCATCCATGCTGGGGGACTCCTGCAACCATCTAAGCAAGCAATGATGGTGACTCTTGGGGGCGGGGGCTGGAGAGGAGAGAAGCAGTAGATTTGGAGGACATCTTGGGGAAGAGTCAGGATATCAGCCTGTGAGGAAACAACAGGGCCATGCCAGGTACTGAATTCAGACTTCAAGGACAGCAGGTGTTAACGTAGTGAGGTTGGAGGGAACACTGGCTGCACGTGAAAAGACGGAAGGTAATTGTGGCCTCTTCAAGAGGAGGCCACACTGCTCTCCTGAGCGCCAGCCCAGGAGCACATACAGCTGGTGGCCAGGGTCGGAGAGGAGTGGAGGTTGGTCTTAAGGTCATGTCAACCCTATGATGGGGCCAGGAGCCAGGAGGTGGTCACTGTAGAGAGCAGTTTGGTTCATCCCTTAGACCAGCACCTTCTGCAATTATGGGATGCCCACAGGTACCTGTGTATGAGTTACTTTTCTTGTTGCTATGACAAAATGCCTAACAAAACCAACTTGAAGAAGGCAGGGTTTATTTTGGCTTACAGTTTGGGGGTTCGACCCATTATGGTGAGGAAGGTGTGGCATCAGGAGTGTGAGGTGGCTGGTCAGTGCATCTGCAGTCAGGAGCAGAGACTGATGAATACCGGTATCTTGCTTTCTCTTTTTTTTTTATTTAATAATATGTGTGTATGTATATATGCATGTATATTTGTGTGTATGCATGCACACATGCACAGCTTGCATTTGGAGGTCAGCAGATCACTTACAGTAGTCAGTTCTCTTCTACCATTTGGGTTCCAGGATCGTTATGCTTACCAGTCAGCTCCTTTACCTGCTGAGTCATCCCACCTGCCTCATTTTTTCACTCAGTCTGGGACCCCCACCCCTTGGGGTGAGGTCACCCACATTTTGGGCAGATCTTTTTTCTTCAATTAACCTAGTCTGGAAGCTCCTTCATAGATATACTCAAATTTGTCACACTGGATGATTCTAGATCCTGTTGACAATATTAACTGTCACACCCGGGACCTGACTGGGTGTCCATTCTGCTCTGTGCAGTACCTGGGAATCTGCATCTCTCACAGATACCCACCTACTTGCCAGTCCACCAAGGGCCTCCCTATCCCTGTGCACTTCCACCTCCCAGCCCTGGGACCAGCCTCTGGGGCAGGAGAGACGGGAAGAGCCTTAAGGTACATGTGCAATCACTGTGTACTGTCACCCATAAAAGAGACTCCTTAGAAGAGTTGGGGTGATTTGTGGACATCCCACCCCAGCAAGTAGAAGTGGGGATATAAAGTTATCAGACAGCTGCTCGTCTACCCCTCCCTCTCTGAGGTCACTTCTCTCCCTAACTTTGCTTCTCCTTTGACATGTCTGTGACCTTCCAGCTCTGGCAACCATTCCCCACTGAGACATTCTGAAAAAGGGTTTCAAATCAGTCCTTGGCCTGGTGGGAGAGGGACGCTGAAAGACCAAGCCCTGGTCTTTCAGCCTGAGTTGGATGGGTGAGCCCCCTTGGGTATGGATGCTGAGACCTCTTAGAAGCAGGCTGTGAAGTGCATTGACCCTCTGTCCTGCCTAGACCCCTCCCTTCACCTGGAATCTCCCTCATCTCTCTCCAGACACTGATGGTGGCAGACAGAGTGGCAGACAGAGTGCCGAACAGCACCGGGCAAAGCTCCCGGAAGAAAGTGGTTGCTTCTCCTTGGAGCGACATCATTCAGCACAAACCCAGGCTTCCTCTGGGATACCACTGAGTGGACCACGAAGCACCACCTCCCAGGTTTCCTCTGCCCAAAGGGACACTGTTCAGGCTGCTTCTGTACAAGAAATGCCCAAAGTTTCCTCTCCACCCCCAAATACTCAGAGGGACACTCCCAGGACCTTGGCCACACAGCAGAGCACCACCAGAACTTCCTCTCCCTCAAGAGTCTTCCAGTGGGACACCCCTAGAACCACATCCACCCAGCAAAACAACGCTCCACTTTCCTCTCCCCTCAGAACCACTTCAGAAAGCCCCAAGACTTCTACCCAACAAGACAACTCAGAAACATCTCTTCCTTGTGCCCTGCGGGACAATCCCCAAGCTTCCTCTCTCAACAGAACCAGCCAGTGTGACAACCCCAGAACTCCCTGTGCCCAGCGGGACAATCCCAGAACATCTTCTCCCAATAGAACCAGCCAGTGGGACAACCCCAGAACGTCTTCTCCAAATAGAATCAGCCAGCGGGACAACCCCAGAACGTCTTCTCCCAATAGAACCAGTCAGTGGGACAACCCCAGAACTCCCTGTGCCCAGCGGGACAATCCCAGAACCTCTTCTCCCAATAGAGCCAGCCAGTGGGACAACCCTAGAACCTCTTCACCAAGTAGAACCAGCCAGAGGGACAACCCCAGAACCTCTTCTCCAAATAGAACCAGCCAGCAGGATAACCCCAGAACCTCTTCTCCAACTAGAACCAGCCAGCGGGATAACCCCAGAACGTCTTCTCCAAATAGAATCAGCCAGCAGGACAACCCCAGAACTTCTTCTCCAACTAGAACCAGCCAGCGGGATAACCCCAGAACGTCTTCTCCAAATAGAATCAGCCAGCAGGACAACCCCAGAACTTCTTCTCCAACTAGAACCAGCCAGCGGGATAACCCCAGAACGTCTTCTCCAAATAGAATCAGCCAGCAGGACAACCCCAGAACTTCTTCTCCAACTAGAACCAGCCAGCGGGATAACCCCAGAACGTCTTCTCCAAATAGAATCAGCCAGCAGGACAACCCCAGAACTTCTTCTCCAACTAGAACCAGCCAGCGGGATAACCCCAGAACGTCTTCTCCAAATAGAATCAGCCAGCAGGACAACCCCAGAACTTCTTCTCCAACTAGAACCAGCCAGCGGGATAACCCCAGAACGTCTTCTCCAAATAGAATCAGCCAGCAGGACAACCCCAGAACTTCTTCTCCAACTAGAACCAGCCAGCGGGATAACCCCAGAACGTCTTCTCCAAATAGAATCAGCCAGCAGGACAACCCCAGAACTTCTTCTCCAACTAGAACCAGCCAGCGGGATAACCCCAGAACGTCTTCTCCAAATAGAATCAGCCAGCAGGACAACCCCAGAACTTCTTCTCCAACTAGAACCAGCCAGCGGGATAACCCCAGAACGTCTTCTCCAAATAGAATCAGCCAGCAGGACAACCCCAGAACTTCTTCTCCAACTAGAACCAGCCAGCGGGATAACCCCAGAACGTCTTCTCCAAATAGAATCAGCCAGCAGGACAACCCCAGAACTTCTTCTCCAACTAGAACCAGCCAGCGGGATAACCCCAGAACGTCTTCTCCAAATAGAATCAGCCAGCAGGACAACCCCAGAACTTCTTCTCCAACTAGAACCAGCCAGCGGGATAACCCCAGAACGTCTTCTCCAAATAGAATCAGCCAGCAGGACAACCCCAGAACTTCTTCTCCAACTAGAACCAGCCAGCGGGATAACCCCAGAACGTCTTCTCCAAATAGAATCAGCCAGCAGGACAACCCCAGAACTTCTTCTCCAACTAGAACCAGCCAGCGGGATAACCCCAGAACGTCTTCTCCAAATAGAATCAGCCAGCAGGACAACCCCAGAACTTCTTCTCCAACTAGAACCAGCCAGCGGGATAACCCCAGAACCTCTTCTCCAACTAGAACCAGCCAGCAGGACAACCCCAGAACCTCTTCTCCAAATAGAACCAGCCAGCGGAACAACCCTAGAACTCCCTGGGCCCAGCAGGACAATCCCAGAACCTCTTCTCCAAATAGAACCAGCCAGCGGGATAACCCCAGAACCTCTTCTCCAACTAGAACCAGCCAGCGGGATAACCCCAGAACCTCTTCTCCAACTAGAACCAGCCAGCGGGACAACCCCAGAACCTCTTCTCCAACTAGAACCAGCCAGCGGGATAACCCCAGAACCTCTTCTCCAACTAGAACCAGCCAGCGGGATAACCCCAGAACCTCTTCTCCAACTAGAACCAGCCAGCGGGATAACCCCAGAACCTCTTCTCCAACTAGAACCAGCCAGCGGGATAACCCCAGAACCTCTTCTCCAACTAGAACCAGCCAGCGGGATAACCCCAGAACCTCTTCTCCAACTAGAACCAGCCAGCGGGATAACCCCAGAACCTCTTCTCCAACTAGAACCAGCCAGCGGGATAACCCCAGAACCTCTTCTCCAACTAGAACCAGCCAGCGGGATAACCCCAGAACCTCTTCTCCAACTAGAACCAGCCAGCGGGATAACCCCAGAACCTCTTCTCCAACTAGAACCAGCCAGCGGGATAACCCCAGAACCTCTTCTCCAACTAGAACCAGCCAGCGGGATAACCCCAGAACCTCTTCTCCAACTAGAACCAGCCAGCGGGATAACCCCAGAACCTCTTCTCCAACTAGAACCAGCCAGCGGGATAACCCCAGAACCTCTTCTCCAACTAGAACCAGCCAGCGGGATAACCCCAGAACCTCTTCTCCAACTAGAACCAGCCAGCGGGATAACCCCAGAACCTCTTCTCCAACTAGAACCAGCCAGCGGGATAACCCCAGAACCTCTTCTCCAACTAGAACCAGCCAGCGGGATAACCCCAGAACCTCTTCTCCAACTAGAACCAGCCAGCGGGATAACCCCAGAACCTCTTCTCCAACTAGAACCAGCCAGCGGGACAACCCCAGAACCTCTTCTCCCAATAGAACCAGTCAGCGGGACAATCCCAGAACACCCTGTGCCCAGCAGGGAAACCCCAGGACCTCCTCTCCTAGCAGACTAACCCAACGGGACAACCCCAGAACTTCCTGCATGTCACAGAACACCCCCAGGACTTCTGCCCAAGGAGATAAGCCTACAGCCTCCTATACCAGATGGGAGCACCTCCGAAGTACCTGCATCCAATGGGACAACCCATCATCATCTTCCCTCCATCGAGACAACCCTAGGGCCACCTTTTCTCAAGGCTGCACCCAAAAGGACAACCCAGGACCATCATCTTCCCCCCGCCATGCCACTCAAGGGAGTAGTTCAAGGAACTCCTCTCCCCACCGTACCAACAAAGACATCCCTTGGGCCTCCTTTCCCCTCAGACCAACCCAGAGTGATGGTCCCCGAACCTCATCCTCATCTCGCAATAAACAAAGCCAGGTGCCTTGGGCATCCATTTCTCTCCGGCCAACCCAAGGGGACAGGCCTCAGACTTCATCTCCTACCAGACAGGCCCAGCACGATCCACCTCAGCACAACTTATCATCCCATGCCACCTCTTCCTCCACCCATAACCTGGGCCATCCCAGTGCCTCTCGGACTTCGTCACCTCTGTACCCAGCACCACACGGGGCTCCCCAGACCTCTTCGGAGCAACCATGTGCTGTATGCATAGGGCACCGTGATGCGCCTCGTGCCTCTTCACCCCCTCGCTGTTTTCAGCACGATCCTTTCCCCTTCTTCCCAGACCCTAGAGCCTCTGAGAGTGAATCACCCCACCACAACCCCCCCTACATGCCACCTGCTGTATGCATTGGGCACCGTGATGCCCCCTGGGCCTCTTCACCCCCTCGTCACACACAATTCGAGCCCTTCCCCTTCCTCCCAGACACATCAGATGCTGAAAATGAGTCTCCCCAGCATGACCCTCCACAGTTGCCCCCACCTGTATGCATTGGGTACCGGGATGCCCCCCGGGCCTCCTCCCCACCTCGCCAGTTCCCAGAGCCCTCCTTCTTCCAGGATCTCCCCAGGGCCAGCACGGAGAGTCTTGTCCCTTCTACAGACTCTCTGATTGAGCCCCTCCACATCCCCACACCTGTATGTATTGGTCACCGGGATGCTCCCTCCTTCTCCTCCCCACCACGCCAGGCCCCTGAGCCCTCCCTCCTCTTCCAGGATCCCCCCAGAACCAGCATGGAGAGTCTTGCCCCTTCCACTGACTCTCTGCATGGTTCTCCACTGCTGCCCCCACAAGTCTGCATTGGCCACCGGGATGCACCGAGAGCCTCCTCCCCTCCCCGCCACCCACCAAGTGACCTAGGGCTCCTGACACCGTCACCTCCGCCAGGTAGCTCAGGCTCCCGGGGCTCAGCACTCCCTGGGGAGACCAGACACAACTTGGAGAGGGAAGAGTACACCATGCTGGCTGACCTGCCCCCACCAAGGAGGCTGGCCCAGAGGGAACCAGGGCCCCAGGCTCAGGGCAACAAGGTGGGGCGCACCCACAGCCCTGGCCGAGCAGAGGTGGAGCGCCTCTTCAGGCAAAAGCGCAGGTGAGCCAGGGTGGGTGCAGTCAGGTGGGCTGGGGAGAACAGTTGGATTGTTCTCAAGGCTCAGGTGCCAGAAGCAAGGGTTCAAGTCCTCCTGCCCTGCTGTCCATTGGCTGTGTGGCCTTGGGTGAGTCACTTCATCTCTGTGTTTCTGCATATTTGTTTGTTTGTTTGTTTCCTGAGATTGAGGTAACACTCTGGGTAACCTAGTGGTTTACCCAGAAGGAAAGTTTAGCAGGCTGGATTTAAATCCAAAGTCAAAGCTATTCTGTATCCTGTGTGACCTGCTTAAAGTGATTTAACCTACTTGAGCCTCAATTTCCTTGCTTGTCAAATGGGGGAGAACATTAGCACATTGATTTAAATGAGGATAAACTCTCAGTGGGTTGATGCGGTTGTTTGATCAGAGTCATGGGTTTGATGTTTTCCTCCTTGCATGAGGGAGAAAAAGAAAGGACCTTTGATTCCTTCCATATACATTTCCAAAACCAGAGCGGATCATTTTAAATGTATGACCAGGGACTGGGGGTGGAGCTCAGTGGTTAGAGTATTTGCCTAGTATGCACAAGGGCCTGGGTTTGATCCATGGCACTAAGTAAATAAATTATTTGAATTTTATACTTTTGGTGGTACTGGGAATGGATCCCAGACTTGCACGTGCCAAGCAAGTGTTCTACCCCTGGGTCCAGAACTATGTATTTTAAATAAGAGAGTTCTCAGAAGTTCAGACTTCTTAAAGGTTAAGCCTTACTCTCCTGGGACATGGTGAGGGTGTGAGAAGTCCTAGTGTCTTGTGAGTGTCCATGCTACTGCTGGGAGGATCATCCTTCCTACACTGGCTGAGATTTCTCTTCCCAATAGTGCCAGCCCCTGATTTTTCAGAGCTGTAGTTCCATTAATTAGAGTCAAGAGAAACAAGGGATGAGGGGTCTGGAAGTCTCAAAACTTTCAGTGTATAATCCAGTGGTTTTAGGATGTGACTGAGTGGTACAACCATTACTATGACATAATTTTAGAGCATTTCCTACACCTATTAAGGTCTGTACTGTTTTGTACCTAAGAGTCTTCTCCTGCTGCTGCAAGGCAACATTTCTCTAATATCCAAATTGAATGAGAAACCATCTTTCTTATTCAAATTTCCTTTTTCTGGTAAACTTGATCCATTTAATGTCTAATTGAGAACCTTTGTTGACCCCAGCGTCAGTGTATTTCTTTCTTTGACCTTCAGAAAAGAAAAAATATTTTTGGTGGGGAGTAGGTTTGAGACAGGGTCTCATGTATTCCAGGCTGGCCTTGAACTTGCTTTATAGCTAGGGATGACCTTGAATCCTGATTCTCCTGCCTCTGTGTCCCAAGTGCTGGGATACAGCCTGCAGCACCACCCCAGCTCAAAGTTACTTTGGTCCATTTCATTCTGCCCCTCTTCTAAGTGGAATACTGTTTGTCCTCTGAGAATAGAATGCATTTGTGTGAGGGACAGACTTTATGGATGGGGGAGGTTTGCAGACTTGTATTTTTATTTTCTCCCATTTACTCCTTTGACATATGTTTATTGAGCATCTACTCTGCCCAAACATTGTTCTGGAATATATTTTCTCTGAAAGGGCTGTCATGTCAAAGTCTTAGGTATTTGACTTGCTGTCTTAGCCTATTTTCCTTAGATGCCTTCAAAATCATTAGCATCATATAAGCATCCCATGGTCACTTCAATTTAAAAGTCTTCCTCGAATCTGCTAGACTTGGTGTCTTTGGTTCTTTAACACAATCTGGAAGCCCACAGGCCTACCTAAGCCTTCTAGAGGAAACTGACTTCCTTGGTCATCAGGTACAGCCATAGCAACCCTCAGGAGCAGGTAGCTCTGGGGAATGATGCTGCTGAAGAGTTGGGGTTCCATGGGGGCCTCAGAATCTTCTAGGGTTCTTCAGGCCTATCTCTCAAAGCCTTATGAGGGAAAGGGGAATATGTCTCGGGATGAGTGTCCATTGAGCTAGCTGGAGTTTGTATGGAAAATACATGTATTTGAAAGAGACCAAACATTTGTCTCTTGCTGGGGCATCTGCCACCATTATCCTCCAACTTCCCTGTTAGGAGAAATGACTCCCTCCAGTTATATTTGGAATTCTGCTTCTGAAGCTCCTAGACCTCACTTGGGCGTGGTGGCACATGCTTTTAGTTCCAGCAGAGGCAGGCGGATCTCTGTAAATTCGAGCCCAGCCTAGTCTACATTGAGAGTTCCAGGCCAGCTGGGGCTTCAGGGAGACCCTATCTCGAGCCCTCAAGTTTAGGTACTCCAGGGGCCCATCTGAATGAGCTCTCAAAACTGCTGATGACTCTAATGGCTTTTCAGATCTGACTCTAAATGACTTTGGCAAAGGCTATAAGACAGCAGCAAAGCCTAATACCACAGTTTTTGTTGTTTGGTCTCATGTAGTCCATGCTGGCCTCCAGCTTACTATGTAGCCAGGGATGACCTTGAACACCTGATCTTCCTGCTTCACCTCCAAGGGCTGGAATCATAGATGTGCATCACCACTCCTGCTTTTCTTCCTTCTGCAAAACTTCTGCAAATCTCCACAGTGCTCTGCATGGTTCTTTACCTATGGGCAGACTGGGGACGGCTGGTCCCCACAGCTCCTTCCTATCACCTTTTGGGACTCACTCTTCAGGTGTCCCTCCCAGCCAGTCTTCTTCAGCCACCAGACATGGCCCTGATGAATATATATATTTTTTTTCTTTTTTTTCTTTTTTTTTTTTGAGACGGTCTCACTATGCAGCCTTTGTTGGCCTGGAACTGTGTAGATCAGGCTGGCCTTGAACTCAGAGAGCTACCTGCCTCTGCCTCTGCCTTTTGAGTGCTGGCATGAAAGGCATGGGCACCACTCCTGGCTACTTATTTTTGCACTGCTGACGGATGAAGCTGGGGCCTCATACATGCCCCTCTCCACTTACCAACTTAGATGAAGTTCGATGGTCAGACTGTACAGAGATAAATATTCATGAAATAGTTGAGTCTTTTGTGGTAACTCCCCTACTAGAAAAGGGGACAGACTGGACCCAAAGTCCATTAGGTGATCCATAGTGTTTTGTTTTGTTGTTGTTATTATTATTATTATTTTGTCTTTGGGTTTTTTTTTTGGTTGTTTCTTTTTTGAGACAGGGTCTCCCTGTAGCCCCAGCTGGCCTGGAACTTGCTATGTAGACCAGGCTGACCTTGAACTCATAGAGATCTACCTCCTCTGCCTCCCAGGTGCTGGGATTAAAGGCATACATCATCACACCCCACCCAAGCTGCTTTACTTTTTAATGGTGATGGCATGTTGACTATGAATAACCATGGCTACCCACTATTAAACCAGACAAGTAGCTAAAACTAGGGACTTTGGCACAGGCTAAAAGTTATCTCTATTGGATTGGAGAGAACATGTCTTCCTTCCGATCTTGCTAGGAGCTCCTTTGCCAACAGTCAGAAGGGTCTAGAGTTTCAGAATCCTGTAAACTCTGAGGTAAGCACAAACTGTAGCTGGCTTGAGAAATCCTCAATTTACAATGCAGAAAAAGGGCAGAAAGAATGGAAGACGGGGCACCTAACATTGCCTCTCTTTACCTCGGATCATGGGTTGTACAAAGTTAAATGGGATCATGCATACAAGCACTTGACATCCGGAACCTAGGAACTGCTCAATAAATATTTTCTTAAACATTGTGATTATTTATGCTCAGTGCCTGACATTGAGTAGGTGCTCAATAAATCTGAATTCCTACATGGACCAGTCTAACTTTTGTCTGGGGTGGCTGGTGGGCTGCTGGTAACAGGAAATGTTGAATGACACAAGAGGGAGCCATGGCCATGGCTTGCCTCCTCCCCACCTTGCTTCCTTCATTCACCTGTGTCTTCTTCACAGCCCTGAGAGACAAATTAGATGGTGCTGACTGTCTCTATTTCCCAGAAGGGGAAAGTGAGGCCCTGAGAGGGTCGTCCTTACTTAGGGCCTCTGATGAACTTGCAGGTCTCTGAATTTCTTATACCTCCTATCATTGGGGGATGGGTTGGGGGGGTACTGGGTACTGGAGTGGAACACTCCAGAAGGCCCTCTGGAACAGTTGCATTTACTCATAGGAAGTCCGAGGCACCAGGGGCCTTCCAGTCTCGGGATGAGGCACGGTCACAGCGGCCCAGCCAAGGTCAGAGCCAGCTTCGAAGACAGTCCAGTCCTGCCCCCAGCAGGCAGGTGAGCACCACTAGCCACCAGCCCTGATCAGTGGTCACAGTCTCTCCTCACCACCCTCAGCTCCAGGCAGGTGTCCTGGGCAGGGAAGTCCTATTCCCCTTTCCCCAAGGGCCAGCGGCTCTTGGCAAGATGGGAAGGACTCCACATGAATCCTTCAAAGACAGCCCCTCTGAGCTGTCCCCGTCTCCTCAAGACACCTGCTATCTTGAGAAGATCTCAGAGAAACTCAAGTGCATCAGGCGGGCTCTTAGGCTACCTTGTCCAACATGGGGATTGGATCTCTAATGAAATTAGAGGGCAAGGCACACCCCAGTGGCACAGTTACCTGTGGTGGAAATTCAGGCACCTGATAGCCCAGGATGGAATCAATATCTTGGAGAGGGGAGTCCGGAAAGTGAGCAGATCTCTTTCTGGAGCTGAGGAAAGTGAGTGAGAGGGAAGAGCTGCACCCCGCAGAGAGAACCCAGGAGTTTCCACCTGCTTCCAGGCTTCTAGGAGAACACAGCCTTAGCCGGGATCCGGCTAAGACACACAGCGACTATCCAGTGCAGTCTTGGAGCCTCACCAATTCCCTCACCTCATCCTCAGGTGACCAAGCCCGCAGCCAAGCAGGCAGAACCAGCCGAGCGGAGCCGAGCAGAAACCCCCCAACCTAGGAGTCCTGAAAAGCGGCCTGAGGGGGACAGGCAGCTCCAGAGGTCTTCACTGTCCCCCAGGACATCAGCCAGGCCCCCTGAGCAGGAGGCACAGACAGAGAGACGTCTGGAGAGTGGCTGTACTGGCCTGAGGCAAACTCTGGGGGGGTGGCAGAGTCAGGAAGAATTGCCAGGGCCCCAAAATCCTAACAGATATCCAGAGAGAAGCTGGGGCAGCCAGGAGGAAGGCCCAGGCCTGGAGGGCTGGCCAGGACTTGGGGATCCCAGCCTGGAGGGGGCATGGAAGGGCCCTCCCAAGGAGCACGGGGAAAGCTGGAGGCAGACAGAAGCCTGGGAGGAGTTTCCAAGTAATGGGTTACAAGGGGTCCCCCAGAGGGGCCACGGCAGCCTGCAGGAGTTGTCTAGACCCCACGAGCCTGCCAACCTCCCAGACAACTCCTGGGCAGAACGCTCGCATCTCCGGCAGCCTGAGGCCCCCTCTGCCATGGGCTGGAGGGCTGAGGGAGTGTGCCCACACCCATATGGTCCTAAGAGGTCACCCGAGCTGGACTGGAGGGACCTGCTGGGCCTTCTCTGGGCACCTGAGGATGGGGCCTGGGCCCGACTCCCAAGGTTGGACTGGGAAGGCCTCTTGGAGCACCTGCAGGCCCAGCTGCCCCACAAGGACCGAGCTGGGCACTGGGGTGACCCAGCTAAGGCTTCAGAACCAAAGCTGGGTTCTCCAGGCACAGAGGATATCCCGATGGCAGAGTGGCAGAGCCAGCCTGAAGACTGGACCAAGGCCACCCTAGTCAATGGACACAGCCCTGGGCAGCCATCCCAGAGCCCCACACAGCCTCCCAGCTCTGCCTGTACCTCTACCCAGTGGCCAACAACCAAAGTGACAAGTGGACCAGAGACTTCAACTATGGATGGTCTGGAGCAGATGAGCTACCAGGGGAGCCGCAGTCCACCAGACCTGGGGGTAAGTCTATTCCACTTCTGACAGGTGTCCAGGAAGCCTGCCTCTGACAAATGTCAGAAAGACTCCATGTAATCCCAGCCCCAAGGCTCAGCCTGGATCCTCCCTGCTGACCACACCACTGAGCTACATGGACAAGAGGTGGTAACCACCAGCACTGGGTTGACCATTGCTCTGAATGTCCCAAGTGTGCATTCCTCATGGGTCTTTATAGTAACAAGGTAGTCCTTGATGGGTTAGGAATATGAGACACTAAGGTCACCATAGCTAGCTCCAGCTTGTTGCAGGGGTGGAGGACCAAGGTCTTCTCAGTTCTGGTCACACTAAGGTCCCCAGCTGGATACCCTGGCTTTCCCTCCTCCTAGCCCCACAAAAGCTGGTTTGTGTTGTGTCTGGGGCTGGCCTATACCTGGCCCTGCCTAGGACTACAGCTCTGTGGCTGTGTCCTTTCTCCTTGCAGAGTACAAGCTGACTTCACCCACCTCTGGCCTCTCCAGCAGCTCAGACAGGGAGAAGAGACCGCAAAGTACTCACTGGGTGGAGAAAGTGGCCAGGATGGACCCCTATACCAATACCTTGTGATTCCTCTGAGCCCAGATCATTGATCTGAGGAGGGAGCATGGAGGAGAGCCTGAACCCTGAACACTTCATGGTTTGGAACAATGGCCTTTCCTGCCCGCTGTCTCTCACCAGCTCTGGGGTGAGGTGGAGTTCCTTGCTTGTGCATTCTGAACCTCTCTCCGGGACACGGCCAACCTTCATGCCTCTTCCTTGGCTTTTGGCAGTGGGATCACCAGCTCACATGAAGTGTGCTGTACCACGTGTGCCGTGGACTGAGAGGAGGCAGCTGTCATTGTCCCATTGTATAGATGAGGAAATTGAGGTGCAGACTTGTTAGCATGTCCCAGAAGTCACACCTGTAGAAGTTGTGAGAAATGAGATTAAAGTGTCAGCTCCAAATCCTTGCTTTATTCAAGGTACTGAGACACCCTGAGCCCAGGGCAGCACATGGGGGCCCCTCTCCCCAATCTCCCTGTGGCTGTTCTCAGTTGACTATCTATTGGTCAGCACAAAGACAGCAGGGGGTGCAGGGTCAACTGGCATAGTCTTATCTTCACGGTGTTGTCAGGCTCATGGGAAGGCAAAGTGGCCACAGGGAGCTCTGGGAGGATGCAATGCTGTCTCAGTCGTCACTAATTTGGTGCAGTCTAGCTTGTTACAGGGGAAGTAGGAGGTCAGAGAGATTAGAGCACTTCTGTCTGAGGCTCACTGTACCTGGAAGACTGAGAGATGCTGACCGGAGGGGTGGAGCACCTGGTGCAAAGATAACAAAGCAGAGCACTCACTGCTGGGGCTCCAAGTGCTCCTCTAATGAAGATCCTTGTCATGGCATTCAAGGCTCCTTCCCCTCCCTTCCATCCCAGAATTGTCTCTTGCTGTGCTGGGCTTGCTGGATGACTCTGCATATCTCTCTGCTTTTTATATGCTGTTCCCATTGCTAAGCATGCTCTTCCCTTCTTCACCCACCAAATGTCTGTTCATTGTTCCAAGTCTTAGGTGTAGTGATCTGTCCAGAGAAGCCTCCTTCAATTCTGACCCCAACCCCAGGCTGGTGATAGTCCCCTTCTGGGCTTGATAGTTTTGCTTCCACGGGGCTGAGGCTGTGTCTTCTTCATCTATCCAGAGCCTGATATAAAGGAAGCCTCCAGCTCAGTGGATGGCAGATCAGTGAATACATGGATGCTTGAGTGCACCCAAGAAAAATAGGGAGGCTGGGTGGGATGGTAGGCTAAATGATGGATGGGGTAGTAAGTGATGGATGCTGAACAGATGATGATCAGATGGTGGGTACTAGATAGATGGACAGATAATGAGTGATGGATAAATGGTGGTCTCATGATGGATGAGAGTATTGTTGGAGGATGAATGTTAAGTGGAACATAATAGACAGATATAGCATGAATGAATACATGCTGGAGGAAGGGTGGTGAGTGGATGCTGGAAGGATGGATAGATGAATGAATGGATGGAACAGTGTGTGATATTAGATGATGAATAAATAAAGGAAAGGTGTGGAATGGATGGTGGGCAGTGGTGTTCAGTGGTGACAAGTTGGTGATGTATGATGGATGTGGTGGGATGGCTGGATTGACACATGGATTAAATGACATTGGATGTTGGATGCATAGAAAATAATTAGAAAAATGAGAAGATGGATGGATGGATGCATGGATGGATGCATGGATGGATGCATGGGTGGACGGACCCTGGGAAATGATCAGGGCTAAGCTGTGTTCCTTTTTACCTTCAGTTCCAGCCAGAGGAACCTGAGGAGTTGGAACCAAACAGAGGCCAAGACTCACTGGCTGACCAGAAGCAGGCAGACTCGGTAGTTGGGTACTGGGCTTGGGCACATGGGGAGAGGAAGGGAAAGGAAATCAAATTGGAGATGGACTGAGTTTCTCCAAAGAGCTCTGGGGCCACATGAACCAAGGCTGGCTCTGTCTTGGGGTCATCTGTGTCAGAGTGGAGCCTAGAAAAGAGGAGCTTTGGAGGGCGGCCAGCAGAGCCACTTCTCTCTTGGGAATCCAGGTGGGTAGAAAATCCTGGGGTCAAAAGCCCAGAACTTTGCTTCTAACTTGCTTTGCTGCTACGCTGCCTTTCCTTAGGAGAATGGCAGTTTGGCCTTGAGGGTCTCTGATGTTCTTCTAGGTTTAGAGGACTGGGCCAGGCTCAGAGAAAGAGTGGGGCTTCCTGGAACTGGGGTCAGAGAAGTGGCCTAAAGGAGGTGCCACAGCAGCTGCAGGGCCTGGAGGCCTTCAGTGGTCCTGGAGGCTGAGATGTGTGCAAGGAGTGGACCCAGGAGACTGCCCTGAGCCTGGCTGATGCAGGAGTACAGCTGTGCCTTGCTCTTTCCTGTGACCTGCAGACTGTTCTCACCCACAGCCTTCAGAGGGGTGAGGGCAGAGGCAGGCTTCAGGCTGGCAGAGGGTAAGGAGAATGCGGCTGTGCTTCCCTCTTCCTGTTGCTTCCTGCACTGCCTTCTAAAAAGCCAGATGTTGCCCCTAGCGCTGGTCAGAGCTGGTGGTAGCAGTGCTCTGTCCAACCCATCACTGTGCAGACAAGGAAACAGGCAGAGGACTAGTTCTGGGTCACACAGCCAGTGTGTGGCTGGACTCAAACTAGAACCCAAGGCTTGTAGCCCCTACCCAGTGCTCCTCTGTCCCCAACCTTTGCCAGGACTTGCTTCCTGGCTCTGCCCCGATCTGCTTCTATCTGCCTGGTGACCGGTTTTCTGTTTTGTGAAATGGGGAGGGGTCAGGGGACTTCAGTCACTAACTGGGGTGCTGACAACTTGCTCTTCCTCTTTTGGGGTTATTTCTTCATGCTTCCTGGAGCCTGAGCTTTGTGAACAAAGAGGAAATCGCAACACGGAAACCTCTAGGCCACCCACCCCAAGGCTGCCTCTACTGATCAGAAGTCCTACCTACCTCATTCATTCATTCATTCATTCATTCGTTCATTTGCTCATTCTTTTTTTTTTTTTTTGATAGTGTTTCCCTACTTCCAGCCTACCTGGAACTCACTAGACCAGGCTGGCCTCAATCTCACAGAGATCTGCCTGCCTCTGCCTCCTGAAGGCTGGGATTAAAGGCATGTGCCACCTTGCCCAGCATTCATTCACACATTCTTACAACACTTAGTGAGCAACTTCTGTGTGCAGTGGTTTGGGTTGAGGTGAGCCAGATTGGTGCCTTGTGGTGTTCAGGGTTGTGAGCTCTGATGGGGGTGTGGTCATGGGGGCCAGTCCTTTCCTCAAAGCTCTTGGGGACCTGTGCTTTGATGCTTCTAGCTTTATTTCCAGAGAACCTGCAGATTCCAGCAAGAGGACATCTGGGCTCTGCCCTGCCCCTACCTGTAACCTGCTATGTGACTTTAGGCCAGTCTTGTTTTGCTGGTACCTGGGTTTCTCCAACAAAGATGACTTCAAAGGGGGAGTACTGGGGTTCTGCCATCGGCATCTGTGTTAAGTCTGTGTTAACTAATACCTTTCCTGTTAATACCCTGAAGGCCAAGCAGGTTACAAAGGCCACAAGAGTTGGAAATGGAGCCAGAACTGGGGCACATGTATGACCTCTTGTCTCTAGATGGCTGTGACCATGAGGGAGATGGACCTAGAGTTTCTACATCTTTTAGACATTTTAACAGAAATCAGAAATATGTATTTAATAATTTCTGGATTTCTTAAATTTTGGTTTTAATTTGGGTATCAACCAACATGTACCCTAGGTTGGCCTCAAACTTAATATGTGGTCAGCCGGGCATGGTGGCACACATCTTTAATGCCAGCACTCAGGAGACAGAGGTGGGCAGATCTCTGCCTAGCCTGGTCTACATAGTGAGTTCTAAGGTATAGGACTACAGGAAGACCCTGTCTCAAAAAGACCAAAATAAAAACCAAACCCCAAAAAACAAACAAACAAAAAAAAAACAAAATACTTGCTATGTGGTCAAGGTTAGCCTTGAACTCCTGATCCTCTCGCTTCTACCTACTAAGTGCTGGGATTACAGGTGTGCACTGTCACACCTGGCTCAGATTTCTTTTGTTGTTGTTGTTTGTTTTTGAGACAGAATCTCACTATGTAGCCCTGGCTGGCCTGGAACTCACTATGCAAACCAGGCTGACCTCGAACTCCTGGAGATCCCCCTGCCTCTGCTTCTGCCTCCTGAGTGCTGGGATTAAAGGCATGCACCACCCTGCCTGGCCTTGATCATTAATATTAGAGCCAGGCACAAGATGATTATCACACATCATGTGGCCTGAACATGTCTGTGATCTGTGCCCCTCTCCTCAGCAGCCTGTGACTTGACCTTAGGTTGTTAAATACAAGTTTCAAGGACACACAGAACCCTAGAGGCCCTGAAAAAAACCACAATGAAGTATAAGCAAGTTAACCAGCTCTGGGAGGGGGGGACAGTAGGAATCCTGTCCTCCCTGTGGTGGAGGAATGGTCAGGGGAGGCTGTGGCCAGCGATGCCTCATCCTACCAAAGGGACCTGTGGCCAACTTTAGACCCTGTTTGACAGGCAGACAAGAGGCCAGCAGAGGGCAAGCCCAGGAGCCCACTCAAGGGCCGACTGGTGACCTCATGGCGGATGCCCGGGGACCGGCCCACGCTGTTCAATCCGTACCTGCTGTCTCTGGGGGTCCTCAGGTGGCAAAGGGTAGGCTGGTTCCCAAGGGGCTGGAGGGGTGAGGGTGGCTAGACAGGGGAAGAGGGAGGAGGCTGGGGTTAACTGAGAAATAATGGGGTTGAGCAGGAGGGGTGGGGGAAGGAGAGAAATCTCTGTGGGCCTATGGAAGATGGGTTTTTTTTTTGCCTCCAGGGCAGCACCTGGACCCTGTCAGCTTTCAAGATGAGAGATGTTTGGGTAATCTCCAATCAGCAGCTGCTGGCCAGGGCCAGGGCGCCAAATGGGGGGAGGAGGGGGCAGGGAGGGAAGGCCCAAGGGGGCTCTGCAATTGCCCAGTGTGTCTCAGATCTGGGCCTGCGCCAGTTTCGCAAACATGTGGCCTTACGTAACCCATCCCCTGCCCAAAAAGGCCTGTAAACAGGCCCAGAGCGTCCTCCAGGGCAGGGTGGAGAGGCAGCTGACTCACCTAATCTTGCCCTCCTCACAAGGGCTGGTTTCTGGGGTCTCCTGTCTCAGTGACTAGGCAACTCCTGTCCTTTCACCACTGTTGGCTCTGGGCTGCAGCATTGCAGGACCAGGGAGATAGGATGCCGAGGGAAGGACCTCCCGGCTCATGGCAGTGGGCTGACAGTCAGGATGTTGAGTGGCTGATTTTGCACGGTCCCAGGTGATAGAGTTGCCAATGAAGTAACACAGCATTGGATGTCACATCTGTCAGCTTCGGAGGACTGATGGAGCCACCCAGGGCTAAAGGGAAGATGCCAGGAGCTCAGGACAGCCCGAGGCTGGGGAGGGTTTTCCAACACTGTTTCCTCCCTTCCTTTCCTTTGTGGGCAAGTGAAGGCAGCTAGGTAAACATGGCTATCAGGTGCAGTGGTCCTTCAAGACATGGGCAGGAGCTGCCTTATCAGACTAAACAAAAGTCACCAACACACAGCAGGGCTGGGAGGAGGGGCAGGGAAGGACTTAGTGGAGGGAGGGGGGAGAGAAGCAGGTAAAAGCTCTCTGGATGATAATGGTGATAGGAACCATCAACTATTGTGCACCTTCTGTACACCATCAGCAATCATTGTGTGCCCACTGTATACCCAGATGCGTGCTCTATGTGGGCACATCTGCCTGTATTTGATCCTCATCTCAAGGACAGATTAATGTTCACACACAGATGAGAAAGTCAAGTCCCTTATTTCATATTCCACTTGGGCACAGCTGAGATGTGAACTCTGCTTTGTCTGATCTCAGCACTAAATACTTAAAAACCTGCTCCTGTGATACCGACTCCCCTGGGCCCTCTGGAGACCCTTAGTCACCCCTCGTGTTCCTCACCAGAGGTGTGGTAGCTGAGGCTTTGTGAGTATGGCAGCAGTGGCCACCTGGGGACTAGGAAACATGAGCATCAGAGATGGGACTGCCTAGGGCCTCCCTGAGGGTTGCTGAAGAGCCAGAGAGACAGGTGGAATTCTGTCTCTGCCCCCACCTAGCTGTCTGTGCTGGACTATTGTGTCCTTCCCCAAATCTTACTTTAGGGTCTTCAGTAGAAATGGGGTTTAACACTGGATAATCTCAAGGTTTGGTGGCTCTGGTTTTGGCCAGCATCATTCATTCTTGGGCCTTGAAGCTCTGTAACTCTCTTCTGCTGGGGCGAGCTATAGTGCTTTCGTTTGTGTATTTACTCAGTTAATCAGCATTTACTGACGCGATACTGTGCGCTAAGGCCCTGAGCTACCCTCCAAGATAGATAAAGTCTTGCTCCAACCCTGCTCACAGGAGAGGCAAGCACAGTGATGTGCACCTGGACAGAGCACAGGGGACATCCCTGTAGTAGTAGAAGAGCACTGGGAAGGGGCACTAGGCAAAGAAATGAATCCAGGGAGCACTGGGCATGGAGTCACAGCTTGAGAGCACTGAGTAAGGAGTAAGATGTAGAGAAGCAAGCACAAGGAGACAGATGCGCAGAACATTAGGCAAGGAGATGGGTGTGAGGAGCTCTGGGCAAGGAGTCAGATAGAGGGAGCACTGGGTGAAGGGTCAGATGCTGGGAGCAGTAAGTGAGAAGCCAGATACAAGGAGTACAGGGCAAGGACTTTTCTTTTTTTGTGGTGCTGGGAATTGAACCCAAGGCCTTGCACATGCCATGCAGGTGCTGTACTAGGAGCTCTGTCCCCAGCCCTGCTGTGCAAGTACCTGGATGCC